CTCCCATTGAGGGAGACTGAGGTAGGGGTGGGGGGTTCAGCAATGGCAGTGGGTAACACAGTGACATTGGTGGTGGGAAATGTGTATTAATGGAGGGATGGGTGCTGGATCATTGTATTGCTGAAACCCAGCTTTGTAATGGTCTATCTCATGGATATCCAATAAAAAATTAAAGTAATGTGGAGTCCAGGTCCAATTCAATAAGCTTAATCAATGGCTGAATGAATAGCAGAACTCCTACATTAAAAAATAAATAAATAAATAAAATTAAAAGCCCTTAGCAGGGATCTTCTTGCTTTTCAGGCACTGTACTCTTTCCAATCCCCTGCATTCCACATGATCCTTGAACTCTTCTGGAATGATTTTTGAGTGCAGAGCTAGGAGTAAGACCCCCCAAACAAAAACAAATAAAGAAGCAAACAAAAATCATTTGGGTTAAATATGTACATATATACATAATATGCATATCAGATTTTTATATGAATGTCTAACAAAATCCACAATATAATAATGGTAATAATAGTGTTTGTAGTATCTGGGTATCAGAAATTATACTAAGTAGAAAAAAACTCAATTAAATTTTTGTCAATTTAGCAAGAACATCGAGAAAGTTCTCTCTTTGGACACTGCTTGTTACTTTCCTGTTAAGTGGTGTGGGTTTGTTAAATTCCTGGAGTAGGAAATAAATACATTTTATTCCGAATGTAAAGTAGGTCATCATTCAAGGAATGAAGAATATTAGCATCAAGTTATTGAGCTGGGGTGGGTGGACATATATCTGAAAATATTTTAAATATGGCATCAGACCTAGACTCTAGTTACAAGGCAGCGGAACTTACAAAGAGGTTTCATTCATTTATTCATTTAAGTTGTTTGGAAATACACAAAGCTGTGTTCTGGCCTCACTCTTTGTCAGGCTCACAAAACCAAGGACTGAACCTCAGTCAGTCGCATGCAAAGCAAGCACCAATACCAGATGTACTCTGGCCCCCCAAGTGCACTTAATTGGGGGGTGGAGTGTGGGGTATATCATTAACTTATCTTATGGGAGAGTCACACCTTGCATTGCTCAGAGATTACTCCTTGCTCTGTGTTCAGGGATCACTCATGGTGAACTTCGGAGTACCATATGCAGTGCCTGGGTCATTCAGGTGCAAGGGAAGCATCCTATCCACTGTATTACCTCTCCAGCCCTACCAGGTACTTTTCTTAGAGACTCCAGACCTGTTGTTAAAGTCTTATAACAACCTGAACCCTGCTGCTTTATTTTCTATGTGAGGACCCTCCTCTCAGTATGTTCTTGTCTGAAAACCTTGAAATATATGTATTCCAACAGGACAGCTCTGTCCTGTAGTCCTTTACAAAATAGATATCTCATTCTGTTTCCACAATAGCATTTCCTTTATGAAACAGGGCACACATAAGACTAGATATACAACAGTGATCTCCACTGCTATAGCAGGAAGTTTTAATTTGCCTGCAGATACAGGACACCTAGGAACTCATAACTCTGACCAGAGCCCAGGATCATAGTGAGGACAAGTCAGTTAAGGTCTACACAAACTCAAAGTATGCTTTCTTGGGACTGCATGCCCATGGAAATCTTTGGAAGAGAAAGAATTTTTAACTACCAAGGACAGTCCAATTAAGTAAGACTCTGAGATACTTAAACTACTTAAAGCTTTAAGTAGTTTCTGCCCACAAAGGTAGAAACCATGCTTTATAGAAGCCACCAACAAAACAGTATTGAGGTGAATCTAGGAAACAAGAAAGCAGATTAGGAAACCAAAATAGAAGTTAAAAAGATAAAACCAATTGACATAGTTGTGGCCTAAATCCCTAAGTCAAGTTTTGATGATATCGGCCCTTCTTCAGCCCGTGAGCTATCTCATGTTTTCTCAGAAACTGCATTTATTTTTTAGGAGGAAGTCACACCCGTCAGTGCTCAGAGCTTACTCCTGGCTTTGGGCTCATGAGTGAATCCTGATAGTCTTGGTTGTTTACAAGACAAGCACCCTGATTTTTTTGAGGGAGGCGGGGCTAGTTTGTGCCACACTTGGTGGTGCTCAGGGATAACTACTGATGCTGTACTCAGAATCCTGGTGGACTTGACAGGCTATATTGGATGCTGGGAATCAAAACTGGGTTGATTGCATATAAGGCAAGCACCCAATCTACTGTACTATTGAGTGGGCCCCACAAGCACCTTCATTAACCCCTATCCCTTCATTAACCTCTATCCTAATTTCTCAGGTCCTGAGAAAACTACAGTTTGTTTGGTTTTGGACCACTGCTCAAGGATCATTCCTGGCTGTGATTGGGGATCCATATATGGTGCTATGGATTGAACCAGAGCAGTTGCATACAAGGCAAGTATTATCTGGATAGCTCCCAAAGACTTTATTTTTGAAAACCATGTTTGCTATTAAATTCTTCATCTCAATGAGTAAGAATTAGCTCCTATGCTATGGCAAATGGCATGCATAATGATTTTAGTCAATACTCCTGCATAGTCTCTGATAAACAACAATAGTGCAACACATTTTGAACACATTCTTTTCATTCATTTGATCCTTGCATTGCATGTTCCCCTAAGCATTGTAGAATATGGCCCAACCTCACCCATCCCTGAGTGAAAGCAGTTTCCTAACAATAAGAGAAAAGATAAGATCTTGAAAGATAATGTTATTATTTGGAAAATTGTATATTTTTTTTTTGCTTTTTCGGTCACACCCAGCGATGCTCAGGGGTTACTCCTGGCTCTGCACTCAGGAATGACTCCTGGCGGTGCCCGCGGGACCATATGGAATGCTGGGAATCAAACCTGGGTCAGACGCGTGCAAGGCAAACGCCCTACCCGCTGAGCTATCACTCCAGCCCCAAGGAAAATTGTATTTTTATATTATCTTCTAGGAAAGATTGCATTGTGAATTTTGAATTTTTTAGAATTTAACCAGAAATCTACCAATGTACTTAAACCAAATCTATAATTTTATACATAATATAATACATATATGATATGTGTATGAAGCAGATGAGCAGCTTAGGTCCCATCATTACAAATTCTAACAATACAGCAGTCGCATCTTTTCTGTATATATTAGAACTATGAAACAGTGTAAAATACTTGAAACAGACCTTATTTTGCTGTCTTATTTACTACTAAGAAGTATCTCTATGAGCTGGGAAATAACTCAAGGTCTAGAATTCAGTCATTGGCAAAACCAATCTATCATCTTGTTCCCCATCCCACATCCCTCCAACCCCTAGGCATATCCCTGGTGGCCACCAAGTACCAAGTGTTGCGACTGTACCACTGGCCTGAGTATTGCTTGGAATGAACCCCAAATCAAAGACCTGATCACAGATAAAGAAGCCCCCTTCCCCCCATTGCCCGTTTTAAACGTATTTCTAGGGGGCTACAGAGATAGTATCATTGGTAAGGTAATTTACCTTGCATCCGGCAACCCACATAGTCCCTCTCAGCCCCACCACAAGTGATCCCTGAGCAAAGAGCAAGGAGTCAGTCCTGAGCAACTCTGGGTGTGGCACATAAACCAAAAAAATTTATAAGAATAAGATTTTTAATAATTGATCAGAGTTGTTCTTTACTACTACAGTGTTCAACTTTACAGAAATATTTGTAAAAAGAATTCTAAAATTATGTTCTAAATAAATATATAGTTATGATATATATCATTGGGCTGGAGCAATAGCACAGCAGGCAGGGCGTTTGCCTTGCAAGCAGCCAACCTCACTGACCCGAGTTAGATTCCTCTGCCCCTCTCGGAGAGCCTGGCAAGCTACCAAGAGTATCTCGCCTGCACGACAAAGCCTGGCAAGCTCCACAGGACGTATTCAATATGCCAAACACAGTAACAACAAGTCTCATGATGGAGATGTTACTGGGACCAATCAAGCAAATCGATGAACAACGGGAAGACAGTGCTGTACTTCTTACACAGAGAAGGAATAATTGTGGGCATTAAAGAAAGGATATGAAAAAAGTTAGGATGCATTTGGAAGGGTAATGCTCTGGATTTGCCCCAGCCACTCCAGTGGAAGATTATCAGGGCCTTACATGACTCCTGTCATTGAAGGAGGAACTAACTCATCTCCTAAGTAGTTCTGTTTTAATGGGAAAAGGATGGTCTGAGGATTTAGAATTGGAATGTCAGAGTTGTGAAATTTGTGCCTGCAGCAAACCCCAAGGAGCTTTGCCTCCCAATTTAATCAGCAGTGCACAGAGACATGGCGTATATAATGGAGAAACTGACAATTAATCTTTGCACAGTTACCATCACAACGTCGTTTCCAATACTTACAGATAATGGTAGGAACTTTCACTGGATGAATAGAAGCATTTCCTACCGGATCTGAGAAGGCACAAAAAGTAACTAAAGCAATCCTCCAGGAAATAATTCCCAAATTCAGGCTACCTTATAGCTTAGAGTGATAATGGTCCTTCTTTCACTGCAGGAATAACTCACTGGGTAGCCAAAGCATTATTAATTATTATTTTTATTTGACCTAGATATCCCAATCATCGCTGGAGCTGGATATCGCTGGAGCGATAGCACAGCGGGTAGGGCGTCTGCCTTACAAGCGGCCAACATGGCCGACCCGAGTTCGATTCCTCCGCCCCTCTCGGAGAGCCCGGCAAGCTACCGAGAGTATTCGATATGCCAAACACAGTAACAACAAAGTCTCCAATGGAGACGTTACTGGGCCCGCTCGAGCAAATCGACGATCAACGGGAGGGCCTTTACCTTTACCTTTTTATCCCAATCATCAGGAAAGGTAAAGGTAAAGGTAAAGGCCCTCCCGTTGATCGTCGATTTGCTCGAGCGGGCCCAGTAACGTCTCCATTGGAGACTTTGTTGTTACTGTGTCTGGCATATCGAATACTCTCGGTAGGTTGCCGGGCTCTCCGAGAGGGGCGGAGGAATCGAACTCGGGTCGACCATGTTGGCCGCTTGTAAGGCGAACGCCCTACCGCTGTGCTATCGCTCCACATATACTAAAATTGGAACGATACAGAGAAGATTAGCATGGCCCCTGCGCAAGGATGACACGCAATCAGGAAAGGTAAAAAGAATAAATCAAACCTAAAAAAATAGAGATGAGCGGGCCAGAGTCATAGTAGAGCAGGTTGGTGCTTGCCTAGCCCGTATCTGACGTGGGTTTGATCTCTGTCACCCTGATGATTCCCTGGGTCTCTCCAGGAGTACAGAACCAGGAATAAGCCCTAAGCACAGCCGGAAATAGCCCTCCAAGACAAACACAAATTTACACAACAGAAAAATGTGTCAGGAAATTTCTCAGAACTGGTGACAGTGTTTTCCTTTGGCTTTGCCTCATTTGCGCATTGCTCTTTCCACAGGCTTGGGTCTCAGTGTCTTTGGGACCTCTAGAGAAGTCCTTTTATTCACAGTGACCGGATATTTGACTCAGAGTATCCCTTGTTACCAATGCATGTTTGTTCTCTCAGTTCTTTCTAACGGTACTGAGAGAGTTTGTTCAGGGGGTGTTCCCAAAGCCCCAGACGCCAACATAGGAAACTATATTCTCTAGGAACTCTAGTGTTAATTAAAACTTACTGGGGTAGAACTTTCTCATCACCAGACTGCAAGCTAGATGAAAGGGCCTATTCCTGGTTCTTTTCTCTACTCTAAGTGTTATTAAGTTTCCAGGAAATCCCAGCTAGATCATCACTAAAGGGTGAAGAAGTAGGTAACTCCTTCACAACAGGACACTGAGAATTTTAATGCAGATAGCTCTTAATCCGTGGAACCAGAGAACCTAGATTTTGGCAGTAACGACAAGGACAGCAACTATCAACCTCAATATCTAGAAAATGGGAAATATCTATTTAAAACCACAAGTTAAGAGTATGTTGTGTTCTTCCATTCACTCTCTAGTTCTTATATCCCACTATACATGGCATTTATGTGTGTGAGACCTCTTTATAATGGGGTGCTCCAGTGTTCTATATGATTAGTCTCCTAATCATGTCTATCTCCCCAGAATACTAAAACTCCAGAGAGGATTTGATCGGTCATCAGTAAAATTTATTCCATAACTGATTCTGTACTTTTTTTTGATAAGTCCCTGTATCTTTTTTTTATTATTAGGGTAATTTGGGCTTCATTGAAGCTATTAGGAAACATTCCTGTTTCTTTTATATTGTGGAAGAGTTCCAGGAATATGAATATTAAGGCTTATTGAAGGCTTGCTATAACTCACTAATGAACCCATTTGGACCTGAGCTTCCTTTTGTGTAGAGAATTTTTAAATTAGTTTAAATTTAACTACTTGTGATTTTTCAGCTCTGGTTTTGTACTTCCTACTGATTTATCTTAGGAGGCTGTGGTTTCTAAAAATTCATCTATCTACATATGCTTAAAACAAAACTATTAACTGATACCTACATAATGGTTCTTTCAATTTACAAACAAAATATTTAAAAATATAAAACTAAAAGAAAAATAAAGACATCAATGATGATTTTGATACAAACCATCTGTTCACTAGGTCTCCAACTTATTGACATAGTTCATAGTTACCTTTTATGATCTATTATACTTTCTCCCCTTTTATCTCTGGTACATTTATTGTTTCTTCTATAAATTTCCACCATAAATTGAGAAAAAGTTTACTAATATTTAAAATACAAATTAAAAAATATTTTAATTTTTTTCTAACTTTATTTAAACACTGTGCTTTACAAAATTGTTCACACATTCAATGTCAACATCAGTCCCAGCACCAGTGTGACCTTCTTTTCACCATTCTCCCGGTTTCCCATCCTCCCACAAAGCATGCCAGTTTAGCAGGTACAACATAATTTATTTTATGTTTCTTGTTACCACCAAATAGAAAATGCAATTGCAAAAAACTAATTAAGTAAATGAAAATTCATAGAAACTGTTTTATCTCAAGATGATGACACTAAAGTATTGTCTGAGGATTTGCTGAGCTGTTTTCTGCTAGTTGAGACTTCTGAGTTATAAATGTTTAAGGTTCTAGTATTTATTTTAAATAAACTCAGAATTCACTGTGATTTTATTATATTTTCCTGCTCACTCAATTTTTTATTTTTTTAAATTTAAAAAAAATTTATTAGTGAGACACCATGAGGTGCAGTTGTAGACTTAAAAACTTTCCTGTTTGGTTTTCAGTTATATAATGATCAAGTACCCATCCCTCCACCAGTGCCCATTCTTCACCACCAATGAACCAAGTTGCCCTCCCACCTACCCCCATTCCCCCCACCCTGTCCCACCTCTATGGCAGTGCATTCTCTTCTGCTCTCTCTTTCCTTTAGGGTGTTGTGGCTTTCAATAGAGTTATTGAGTGGCCATCGTGTTCGGTCTACAGTCTACTTTCAACACACGTTTCACATCCCAAGCGAGTCCTCCAAACACCCTTTACTTGTTGTTCCCTTCTCTATCTGAGCTGAGTTTTCCCACAGCATGTGCTGCTTGCTTCAAAACCGTGAAGCAGACCTCCTGGTACTTATCACAACTATTCTTGGGTGTTCATCTCCCATTCTGTTATATTCCTCAGACGAGTGCAGTCTTTCTAGTTCTGTCCCTCTATCTCTGACTCATTTCACTTAGCGTGTTATTTTCCATGTATAACCACTTTCTGCAAATTTCATGACTTCATCCTTTCTAACTGCCGTATAATATTCCATTGTGTAGATGTACCAAAGATATATTTTTTTAAATTTTTATTAGTGAGGCACCATGAGGTACAGTTGTAGACTTATAAGTTTTTCTGCTTGGGTTTCAATTATGCAATGATCAAATACCCATCCCTCCACCAGTGCCTATTTCCCACCACCACGAATCCCAGTATCCCTCCCACCCCCCATCCCCCTATCCCACCCTGCCTCTGTGGCAGGGCATTCCCTTTTGTCCTCTCTCTCTTATTGGGTATTGTGGTTTGCAAAAGAGGCAATGGGTGAAATCATGTTTGGTCTATAGTCTACTTTCGGCATGCTTCTCCCAGCCTGGAAGGATCCTCCCAACACCCTTTATTTGGTGCTCCCTTCTCTATCTGAGCTCCCTTTTCCCTAGCATGTGTTACTGGCCTCCAAGTCATGGAGTAAAATTCCTGGTATTAATCTCGGCCATTCTTGGGTGTTAGTCTCCTATTTTGTTACTTTATGTTCCCCAGATAAATGCAATCTTTCTATGTCTATCCTTTCTTTCTGAGTCATTTCACTTAACATGATACTTTCCATGTATTACCACTTGTATGTAAATTTCATGACTTTGTCTTTTCTAACAACTACATAGTACTCCATTTCATAAATGTATCAAAGTTTCTTTAACCAGTCATCTGTTCTCGGGCACTCAGGTTTTTTTCCCAGATTCTGGCTATTGTAAATAGTGCTGCAATGAACAAACAAGTGCAGATGTCACTTCGACTATACTTTTTTGCCTCTCTGGGATAAATTCCCAGGAGTGGTATTGCTGGGTCAAATTGGAGCTCAATTTCTAATTTTTTGAGAATCGTCCATACTGTTTTCCAAAAGGGCTGAACCAGTAGGCATTCCCACCAGCAGTGAAGGAGGGTCCCTTTCTCACCACATCCGCACCAGCACAGGTTGCTTTTGTTCTTGTGGATGTGGGCAAGTCTCTGTGGTGTGAAATGATATCTCATTGTGGTTTTTATCTGCAACTCCCTGATGATTAGTGTTGTAGAGCATTTTCTCATGTGTCTTTTAGCCATTCAGATTTCCTCTAGAGAAACTTTTTGTTCATTTTGTCACCCCATTTTTTTATTAGTGAGACATCATGAGGTACAGTAGCAGACTTAGAAACTTTTGTGCTTGGGTTTCAATTATACAACGATCAAATGTCACCACATTTTTTGATGGGGCTGGATGTTTTCTTCTTGTGGAGTTCAACCAGTGCTTTCTACATCCTTGATATCACACCCATATCAGATGGGTATTGGGTGAATACCCTTTCCCATTCTGTGGATTGTCTTTGTATTTTGTTCACTGTATGTTTTGCTGTGCAGAATCTTTTTAGTTTAATATAGTCCCATTTGTTTATCTCTATTTCCATTTGGTTGGTCAGTAGCATGTTATCTGAGAAGATAGCTTTAGCCTCAATATTGTTGAGGGTTTTGCTGACCTTGTGTTCAATGTACCGTATGAATTCTGGTCTGATGTTGAGGTATTTAGTGCACTTTGACCTGAATTTTTTGCATGGTGTTAAGTCGAGGACTAAGCCCATTTTTTGCATGTAGTTGTCCAGTTATGGCAGCACCATTTATTAAAGAGGCTTTTCTTGCTCCACTTCACATTTTTTGTTCCCTTATCAAAGATTATATATTTATACATTTGTGGTTGTGTGTACAGATATTCCACCTTATTCCATTGGTCTGAGACTCTGCCTTTGTTCCATTACCATATTGTGCTTTTTTGGAATGATTATAACTTTATTCATATTTATCCTTCATTACCTTCCTTCCAATACCCAATCTTCCTTTTCCAATTACATAACTTTAAATTACTTTTTTAAAAATGATTATAAGTGAGACATCATGAGGTACAGTTGCAGACTTACAATTTTTGTGCTTGATTTTCAATTATACAATGATCAAATACCCATACCTCCACCAGTGCCCATTTCCAACCACCATGGATCCCAGTATCCCTCCCAACCCCCCATTCCCCCCATCCCACTCTGCCTCTGTGGCAGGGCATTCCCTTTTGTTCTCTCTCTCTTATTGGGTGTAGTGGTTTGCAAAAGAGGCAATGGGTGACTATCATGTTTGGTCTATAGTCTACTTTCGACATGCTTCTCCCATCCTGGGAGGATCCTCCCAACACATTTATTTAGTTCTCCCTTCTCTATCTGAGCTCCCTTTTCCCCTAGCATGTGTGATTGGCATCCAAGCCATGGAGTAAAATTCCTGGTACTAATCTCAGCCATTTTTGGGTGTTAGTCTCCTATTATGTTACTTTATGTTCCCCAGATAAACGCAATCTTTCTATGTCTATAGCTTTCTTTCTGAGTCATTTCGCTTAACATGGTACTTTCCATGTTGTACCACTTGTATGTAAATTTCATGACTTCGTG